AATGAAGGAGCTATTCTACGGACGCATCTGCCTAACACGCAGATCTTCTACACTTTCCCACCGGAAAAAGTGGATAAGGCTCCTCAAGGCTACTGGGAATGGCGTAACGCCGTCCTCACAGTGCTGACCACCACTCAGCACCCATTAGGCCTCACACGAGGCGAAATAGCCAACCAGCTCCTGGGCCGATACGATCTGAACGTCATCTCGCACCATCCACAACTTATTGATGGGATAGCATACATGCCGAACCAGGGCCGCCCTAGCGGGTTGTACCCTATTTGCGAGGACGTCAGATACGTCGTAAGGAAGATGTTAAACGAAGGATGGCTCGAGCAAACTGTTGACGAGCCCGAGGCCCAGCAGCGGTACAGACAACATAACGTCCCACCGGATCGTTACGGCCCTCGTCCCACCGAATCCGACTCCTTGGCCTCAACCAAGTCCAAGAAGAAGCGGCGTACTCACCATCAGTGACCTAGGCGTAGAATTCGCATAGGGTCTAGGGGGTGATCCCGAAATAATTCACCGGGCAAGAAAAGCCTAGTTAACAAATCACATGTAAAATCATAGGGACGTAAAACATAGGGCGTAATTATCATAGGGACCCGTCATAGAAAGCGGACTTAACCTCATTCTGCAAGTTTCATTTCTGTTACCACAGAGAATGGGACTTACACCGCAGCAGAAATACGAACCGCGATGCTCGGACTGCAGACGCAACAGCGGCGATAGCATGACACATCCTCACCGCCGGGACAATTCCTCACGGGAGTTGTTCCCCTGCGCATACCACCTGCGGCCGGGCTTCCGCGATGCGAGCGAACGAGCCTACTGCTTCTACCTGGAAGTGGTGAGAGGCAATTTCGATGCTTATATTCACATGACCAGCCGCGACGGAAGCCACCTGATCCCCCTACTAAGGGACCATGAGCAGATAGAGATCTACGATCTCTACATGCAACGTAGTGGCGCCCGACAACCTGGCTGGTGCAGCACCGGAACTCCGATTCCTCCACTCAGCCAATCGGCTCGAGAACGGAAGGACGAGCGGGACCGGGAACGTCGATCCCGCAACTCTGGATCTGACCAGTCCTCAGGGCGTGGCCCAACGGCCGCCCCGAGAAATTACGACCATCAGCGGCCATCATCAGGCTCTCGATCCTACGGACACGAGTTGCCCATACCATGGAATACAACCAGGGGTTCGAAAAAACGATCCTGGAAAACATCAACAAAGCTATGGTTGACCAGGTGGCCCGACAGCTGATGGAAGGTGGATTGCTGGACGCCTTGAAAGGCCAATACCAGCCAGCGCACTGAACAGCGCACACCATTGGTACCGCTACCGCGGAACCCAGATGACTTACGTCATCAGATCCAGAGCCGCAACCAGGACCAAAGTGGACGCCAAAGCCGTAGCCAGCCCGAGCGCCAACCGCGCATCACCCGGGAAGCGAAACGAGACGGAGTCCAGCCTGGTTGTCGCGCAGTCCACCAAGCGACCAGAACGAAGTGTCAGCTCGGTGGCCCACAATATAAGCATCCAGATACCGATGGAAACGGAGCCTGCACCGCCGTCGTCGGACCCACCGGCCCGACAAGACGTGAGCATCAGTGCCACGGGCTTCGATTCATATAAGCATGCCGAGGACCAGGGCATTAACATCCGGCCACTTCCCCACCGGGTTGTGACGGATTATATCATGGGCGCCATCCCATACCCCAGGGACAAATGGGCCCAAGTTGATGCCATGGTCCAAAATCTGCAAACCTTTGTCACCCGGTCCGGCCTCGAAATGGAAATGCAGAGGAAAGTGGCCCTGACTTTAACATGAAGGACCACATTGAGAACCGCGGGGCTACCCAATGGTCCGTGACAATGCTCTATCGAGCATCACGGACGTGAACTTACTTGACAGCCCATCACCAGACCGGACTGGAATGACTTGTGCCAACTGCACATTAAGGACGACCAACTTGACGTCGTCAAATACCTGGCTCAGTTTGTCCTACCGGACGCGAACGCCAGTTTCATCATTGCAGCTTGCAGAGCGGCCATAGAAATCCCATGCAAGCCAGCCGATCACAAGGACGACCCAGCGACAAAACCTATTCCTATAATGGCACTGATACGCATCTTTGCCGCCAGACTTGGCCACTACACTGCCATTAGAATTGAAGTTGCCTACCGGCAAGGGAAAATCGTCCTCGGCTATTGACCCAAGTGGCCTCTGGAAACCAGATCCACGAGATCGAAGCGGGAGTCAAGATCCAGCGCCCTGAACATTTACAGGAGCAAGATTACCGCCAGCCAACTTCGATATGCAAGGTTCGTTCAAACGGTTCCAGAACAAATCAACAATCGTTCAAACCTGCCAATCAGCCTCCAGCACCTCCAGCCAAAATCAACAAAGACAGAGGAATTGGCGGCCATGGAAAGCGTCATCGACCCACTCAATCCTGGGTTGGGCGATGGCGACCAAGCCGGACAAGGAGGGCAGGGATAGGCCAATGGCCATTCCTGCATGTTGGCCCTAAACAGGGACCAACATCAGCTGGACCGGACTTGAACACCATGATGGGTGCAATCTAACGGTTGTTACCTCGCCCAACAAACGTGGCTTACGGCCATGTACCGTCTACCTCACCGGACCTAAATCCTGGATCTTAACCGGATTCCCGGATAGGCTCTGGCTTAGCGGCTGGGACCATGAATTTGGCTCGGCCATCCCAGACCATCCGACGGAGTCCACCGGACCGAACTTGGCACAACGCCTAAGTTCACCGGCATGGAAAGGATCCAGCGCCCAGAATGTGGCGACGGCCCGCATAGAAGTTGCGACAAGCCGTGGATCAGCCTTGCCCGCATACAAGTTGCGACAAGCCAAGGCCAAGTCCTGGCCCATAGAAGTTGGACCAGGCCCACTATGCGTCTAACCGACCATAGATGGCTCACGAGTCTAGTTGTCATACCAGGCAACTGGGACAAGTGAGTTCGGGAGCCACATAGAAGTTGTGGTATACCCATTTTGCATGCCATGTCCATCATCCTCACCATGGACCGCCCAGAGGCCCATCTAAAAGATGCACCGCCCCGAGGCCAAACGAGGATGCTTCTAGTCAGCAGACCGACTCCTTTGTGGAAAACGCCTACCGGCGCCCACAACTTAATTTTTTGGAGTTTGGCCCGGCCAACCTGATGTTTTCGTCAGACGCCACTTAATTTTGTTATGGCCACGGTCTCAGGAAACCTACCTGACTCATCGGACATGGTAGCCAACTCATGGCCCACGGCCAGTGAGACGGACCAATTTTGGCCCGCCATCAACTTTGGACCGTCGAAAAAACGACTAAGTCCTTTTGGCCCGCCATACACCTTGGACCGTCGAAAAAACGACTAAGTCTTTTTGGCCCGCCATACACCTTGGACCGTCGAAAAATCGACTAAGTCTTTTGGCCCGTCCAATGACGTGGCCCACCAAAAATTTTCTAAGTCTTTTGGCCCGTCCAACGACGTGGCCGACCGAAAATTTTCTAAGTCTTTTGGCCCGTCCAACGACGCGGCCACTGGAAAATCGACTATGTTTTTTGGCCCGTCCAATGACGTGGCGCATCAAAAAAACGACTAAGTCCACATCGGAGAGCCAAACCTGGTTATACAGGACCCACACCACAGCAAAGGCCTGAGGCAAGGCCATACTATTCCGGAACCCTGTATCCCGGTCCAGAGCATGTCAGAGACCAAGTTTGGACCGCCCCAACGGGTTTGGTCCATTACACCACTTGGTCCTCGGACTTAGAAATTTTTCCATTATGGCCCTCCTGGACTTAGAAGATTTTGGACCTAGGTGCATGACCAAACCGGCATGCAAGGCCAAAACCGGTCCAAGTTAGAGACCCATATGGGCCATCCAAACGGAATTGGTCCAAGCATACCATTTTGGATAGCAGGAGCACCCCTCCCGCTCAGAGGCATCATTTAAAAGCCTTTATGACCACCCTAACGGGTTTGGTCCATTTCACTACAGGAGCACCTCTCCTGTCCAGAGACATCACTCTGGCCCACCATGGACCGCCCAACCGGGCTTGGTCCACCACAATCAGGAAGGGGACAACTTGTCCTTGCGCATGCAACTGTGCCTTCCTCATATAACTCCGCTGGAATTACTTCACTGGACCCTTGTGGACATCTCTGGGAACCGTCGCCCCGGATTCACAGGACCAGACATATCCTACCGGATAAAGCGGACCGTTAACTAGGACCCTGTGGACAAATGCGGCCCTGTGGTACACCTAGTCGGAATAAGCCTTTTGTTTCGTCTAGTTTTTTAACCAAACCTGGTTTTTCTAGACTTTATTAACCAAAGATGATGTTTTTATTTAGCCATTTAACCAAAGGAATTGGCTTTGGGATCTCTAACTATGATCTTACTTTCTTTAATTCTCACCGGAATTGTGATCTTTTTTATTTCGATGCTTAACATATGAGCCTTATAAACTTTACTTTTTTACTTGTTCGACCAACCAAGCCTTCAAACCCCACTGGAACCCCCAGCAACCAGAGTGCACTCCAGATTTCGGCCGTTCGGTGCACTGCACCGCGGGTCTGGAGGAAGCGACCCTACCGGGTTTAGAGACAAAGTGGCATCCGGCCCTACCGGGTATCGGATCCTGGCACCCTACCGGGTCGGCCAGGGGCAGAGTCGGAAGGTGCTCGCAGGAGCTCCCACTCCCGCCCAGAGGCATGTCAGAGACCGCTCACTCGAGGCGGTAGACACCTCTTGTGGCTTTGCTCTGTCGCCCGCCCGCACATGGCTACTCCATTCGTGCCGCGCTATTACGCTGCTTACTCAGCGTATACTTTGTCTACGCTGACCAATCAGCGCATTTCTCTGCACTCTTGGGGTGGAGCCCTGCGCCTACGGGCGATTCCATGCTTTGCAGCATCAGCTGTTGCACACCCGCAGCACGCGGAATCATTAATCACGATTCCTAGCTAGCGCACTGCAGGCACTTTTTCCAGCTTTCCCCGCATTGGGTTTTCTGTTGGTTTTTGTGTTGTTGTTGCTTTATTGTTATCACAATAAAGGCTATTTGCCCCATTTTCCATCTGCTTCTGTGTCTGATCTGACAATCTGGTGACTGCAAGCCGGTTTCGAGCAGGATCTGAAGAAAATTGAACAAGGTTAGCATTAGCTCACGAGACAAGTTTCCGGTTATTGTTTCCAGCAAAAATAAGCGCTAGTATGCTGTAACGCGGATACTGATAATATTCATATTTTCAGATTTTTCTCACTTCAGCCAAAAATTACCTCGAGCAACTAACAGCTACTCAACATCGTGTTTAGCCACTGTGTCTGTAGCATTATAAAAGCGCTCAAGTGCCGGTTATATCACAGCATGTTGGAATATCGCTTCCGTACCATCTATGTATGCCACGACGCAGTATTTAATGGCGCTGAAAATTATATACGCGATCTAATCGAAATCTCCTGAAGCCGCTATGATGGATATTTGCTGGTTACTGCTTGCCACGCTGTTTTTCCATGGAATTCTGGCAGCAGACGGTACGTTTTCCGCATAGAGAAACAGCGCAACTTTGTTGTCGTTTAGTAGGCCATTACTCGATGATCCTGATTTCTGTATTCTTTTCGATATTTAGATGATTTTATTTGGAAGGCGGTCCCTCCTCCGGTTCCATTTCCGGTATTCTCCGCTGAGCCAATGGCACACGAGCAGTGCCGTCTGCAGTACACCACCAACTGTTATTCGCGGGAGTATCCGCTGAGCTGGTGCATCCAAAGCCCGGTACTGAACATCAACTGCAACAGCAACGCCACCTCACAAGAGATTCAGCAAATGGCAGTGACGTTCGCCCAGCCGCCCCTGCGACCGGTTCTGGTGGACCTTGATGATGGCGAGCTAGTAACTAGTGAGAACGTGGCTGCTGTTCGAAACCAAGTCATCCTCTTAAGCTTGTCCAACTGTGTATCCCCTCGCACTACCGGCAAATTGTCGTCGTTGCGTTTCCCCAATCTTCTAGATTTGTCGTTAAATAGCTGTTACAACTTAAAAATTCGGAGATCAGATTTTTGGCAGTCGATGAAATTACGTGTTATAGAATTTTTCAACGGAACAATTCAGTCATTGGAGAAAGATACATTCGCTGACCTTCCCGCCCTTCGAGTCCTATCACTGGAAGCAGGAATGGCTTCTATTCCGACATTCAGTCCCGAGATTCGATCGTACTTAAAGGAGCTACATTGTGGCATGGCGTTTGAATGGTTCCGCCGATGGTGGGACAACAAACACCTGTTGAAAAAAGCTAATTACAGTGAAGTGTACCAAATGTATCCGTCTGCTTGGGGAAACCATGCAATTAATGAAAGCGAAATGTACCTGCCTATTGACTGTGCAGCTAAACCATTTCCAACTGGAGCGCCTTCTATCGATTTCAACCAAGAGCGCTTCTCTGTTAACGATGACCTTTGTAAGTTTGACACTGATTGAAGCACTGAAAGGCACTTTGTTTGATTTAGAAGTATTATGACGTTTCAGATGGGGAGAAATGGTTACCCGGTGACGTTGAAGACGCCGAAGACCGGTATCCGGAATTTTCCATACAACCGTTTACCGCCGAAGAATGTGCCGTTCAGCAACTAAGCTACTGCCACCCATTGACATGTGGAGAAACTTTTATTCAGGGATACCTCACATATAGACTTTCGTTTACTACGGACACCGGCTGCTATGCCAACGTCTCCGGTTCAGAGCGCATCCAGCGCGCGGTGAACTCTATTATGCGCTTGCCGATTCGGCCTGTCATCCTCGAAGTACACCACAGGGCTCCTCTACTATTCGCAGATGTGGCTCCAGTACGCAAACGTATTATTCAGTTCCATCTGTACGATGACTCGAAACGAGCTACCGCACAGATACTTGATTTATACTTGACGAACATCGTAGAATTTATGGCCTTCCACTGTTCCGATCTGGGTATCAAGAAAACTGATTTTGAAAGGTCAAGAAAGCTCCGACAGGTTCTGTTCTATAATACGACAATTCAAACGTTGGAAGCAGGGACTTTCACCGATTTACCGTCGCTAAATTTTCTCTCACTGGAATTCAATCTGAGAAGAATGCACACGTTCGAGGAAATTCGAGCTTATGATGAATGGTGGCTGCGGCCGGTAATGTTCTCACAACGAACGCGCGATTATCTGTTTCACCTGCACTGCAGTTGTGAGTTTGCTTGGTTTCGGCGATGGTGGAATAGCAATAATACTGTGAGATTATCCCCGGCCGTTGAAAACGACGAAATCGTGTCTGTAATGCGTGTTCCCTACTCCGAATACTTATTTTACCAGGCTGAACAAGTCCCCATCGACTGTGCACACCCAATTCCACTGGGATCGGAATACGTAAATGTTAATCAAACAGAATTTTCTGTTAACGAGCCAGTTTGTCTTTAGCTTCTTTTTGGGTAGTAGCTATCAGCTTGCTTTCTTAACGCTCTTTAGTCCGTCGATCTTATCATATTCTGGAATCGGCGCCCTATCATTTTGAATCTGGGTAACGCTTAGTTTGCATTAATTCGGACCACATTATTACGTTGCCATGACGATACGAGAAAATTAATATAGCCTTTTTACTTCTTATCGCTTGCAGCCTTGCACGACACACTATACTGTGAGCTGTTTGCACGGTGATCAAGAAATGACCCTAAATAGACTGTGAAAGCTGGGAGCCCGGTGCGAAATACAGTTGGATGTTGTTGAAAGCGGATCGATATGATCACCGGTGTTTTTTGAGGTCCGTATTATAGTTTTTCGTCTTAGTTACGTAGAACTTTCGTGCCAAATCTAGCGCCCATATTACAGTAATCATAACAGCTATGTACGTCGAAAGTTGTAACAAGCGTTATACAGCATCTGGATGTGAGCTATGGTGCTGCAGTTGGTAATATCGATTCAGTTTATCAAACTTGATAATATTTCCGCTCTGGATGGCTGATTCAGCTGTAATAGTAAGTTCTGGAGTTAGGTACGAAATGACTAATTCAGTTATTCGATAGAACTGCCTGATTTACCTGCTTATTTTGTTCTCTGCTTTCTCTGGCTTTTTTCACATTTTCGTTATTTCTGAATAGGACGATACATAGTGCAGCTGCATAATTTTTACTATTGCATTGCACCCAAATGTCATCAGCGCTCGTGTACAGGTTGAGGGTACTAGAGTAGAGGTTTTAATTATATCAAATGTTTTCACTCTCGTTCGATCTCTGCTTAACGAAATCACGTTCGGCTGTGACATTAAAGGAGAAAATGACAAATCAAAAACGTTAATTTTACGATAGTGAAATGACAGCTCCAAGTTTAATTAGTGCGAACTTTAGCTCTTCCGCTTCGTACTCGTTGGCATCGCTGGCCAGCCTGATTCGGGCAGTTCTTGCGCCGTCGTAAAGAATTAGTATGACCTGAGTTCCTTCCATTTCGATCTCCTGATTTGGAAAATTCCAAGATTACCGTACGTGTTCGACAGGTCAGTTGTACATTTTTCACTGTGATATTGCATTATTTTACTTTAGACTTACAAGCAAGTCCCCAATACCCGGTATTGGGGACTTACTTGTACTTACACAGTACAACTTTTAAGTTTTGATAAATTCGGTACACTGACATTGCCGAATAATCCAAAATTGTAAAATGTTTAATTGGTTTCCTTCGTGTTCAACAACAACGATTACATACTACGGTTACAAATTCCAAAATTCATAATTCATGGTGAAAATAATAATAATTCAAAATTCAAAATTACATAGTGAGATGATTATCGCGATAATGATCAGGGCAGGTGCAAAATACGGCCGTGATTGTGTACAACGCTTGCTATAGCGCACTAGAAAAAGTTTTGTCCCAACTCGGGTAATCTATGCTACTGCAAAAGCTTCTTTGTTGAGGTAAAAAATAAAGAATTCGTCCCTTATGAATACATCGGTTTTGGAAAGATGAAAAGTAGATGCTTTCGTAGTAGGATGAAAAGTAGGTAATTTCGTAGATGCAAAAGTAATATTGAATTCTGGATTCAAGTAAGCCAAACTCGTTTGCATCTTCTCTCACTGGTATCCCAAACAAACTGTGGGCAGTTTTCCAGCGTCGAACATGCGAACGACACGTCTTCGGTTGGTCTACGGCAAACATAGTTTCCATTGGGCGGATCACGTTGGTCAAGCCAATATCCGCGATTTGCAGTAGGTTTCGACTTGGTAGTAACAAATGCTTTAAAATATTCGAGGTATGTATAGTTACAGAATTCTCGCGACAGCGGCCGACCGAAATACCGTTCCAGCGCTGATAGAGTATTTCAAGCAGCATCTTCGTTTCCGCGCTGGTACACGATGTACTTTTTCCGTGGTAAATGAACTGGGTATGATGTTACAGAAGGGATCCATGTAGTCAGCGGTTATTCAAAAAATCGGTGAATAGCTTCTGTGGCACAAAGATAACCCGCTTTAATCAGTTTAATGTACTGGTCTATCTCGTCCAGCTGAAAGGTTCCCTTGGTGTAATCCGGTCCTTTATAAAAATATTTGTATAGGTACGGCACAATCCGTATCGAAGTTAAAATTTCAATGTTAAGATGGCAGTCAAATAAAAGGAGCACATCAGGATTGTATGGGGCAATGTAAACGTCTTGCTCGCCGCACGGGAACATAACCGCAGTGATTTCTGTAGGTAAATGGCGCAATTGGTTTTGAATAGCCGTGGTGGCGGCTGAAAATGCTGATATGAGTATGGCTGTAAAGTTTAAATAATTATTACGTAATTAATCGTATGGACAGTATAAAATAGTGCTATCTGTATACTTGTGCGCTCATGCATGAAGCATTATTACTGTAGTAATTGCAATACTAACATTTTATGCGTTTTTTGATATTCCGTTTTGTAGCACTGCGGTTTGTGATGTTGAATCATGTGAGTGTTGACGGCTTCGTAAAGTTCCTTGTTTGATGGATGAGGCATTTCTGCACAAATAAGTTTGTCGATATCGTCCGCGGTAGTAGGTTCGTTTCTCGACTTTGAGTGCGATGTGCACGTGTGGTAGTCCTCTTTTCTGGAATTCCGTCACTTCGATGCAGTGCACTTTCTTCTTGCCGTTTAAACTTAAATGCGCGCACCGAATTAAATGTTGCCGTTTTGCGTGAAACACTTGTGCGACTACTTCCGGTCGGTCTGATGCATTTTGGTCTTTGTGCAGTTTAGCTGTAATCTCTGGCCATCTTGGGTTAGGTGTCATTGTAACGAAATATGTTGGATTACCATGCTGAGGGACAATAGCTAGAGTAGCGCTTCTGCTGTGCGTTTTCGCTGACATCGTTTTGGATCAAGAAAACTTTCTGGTAAATACGTTCGACTAGAGTCTACTGGGCCATCAGCGCCTATCGTTTCGTCAAAAAGTAAATCCTGTTCATTAAATGCACCTTAGCTGGTCTCTTGGTCTCGTCACGGGCACTATAGGAACACAGTTGTTGGCCAGTGTGGGTCCATTGTATTTGTCGAACTCGACGAGAACGATGTACGGTACGCCGTACGGGTAAGTTATCGGTCGGTGACGTTCCCGGGGCGGAAATTATATCTCTCCCATATCTCAGCACCACGTTTACCAGGCCTTTGTTTGTCCAAAGATTTCGTTTTTAGGATTACCCTGCTTCTACGAGACTGGTATAAAACCGATTCCAGACCCACAGTTCGTAAAAGTGCGTTCATGAGCTAGCATCTGTAAAGCATATGCCACAGTCACAAGAAGACCTTCGATAAGCCGCATACTCGTAGATACGGATGATCCCAACCACGTTTTGGATAGGGATTGATGGATCATCTCATAGGCTTGTTCGTCCTGGGCAACCATGCTCTGCCGCTTTTCCGTATCGCGCAGTCTGAAGCTTTGTTTGTTGGAAGAAATCAGTATACCGGGATCATCGACGGTTTTGGCTTTGTGAGTCTCTCGCTGCGTAATTTGGAATGTGCGGCTGAACTGATATTGAAAGAATTCCGGTTCTTCGTAAATATCGCGATGCCTCATCTGGATGGCTTGTGTCGGGACAGTCCGAAAAAACATACAGCCATAAAAAGTGTACAGATTGTGTACTTGGTCAGAACCATTACTGATTACATGGCTGTTCGAAATGCATAAGTACAGATAAGATCTTCTTGATCGTCTTTAACCAAGTTTTAAATACTCTCATTTAGTTTTCCTTTGGCCGAGCCTTTGCAGATGGAAATACCTATACATTTATTTAAAAATATAGTGGTGGTACCTTTCTACAAAAAGTCGAATTTTTCTTTTCTGCAGTTGGAGACGGAATTAGCGCCTTGGCAAGTATTTCTCGATCTAGATCATCTCTCGATCCCGAGCCCTTTTCTAGAAATTATAAGGTATCTATACTGTACATGACAAAAAAGCACGCTACTTTAAACAGTTTCCGTTTCGAGCGGCAATTTAGAAATTATATTTCTGTTCTTTTTGCGCGCTTGTGATGGAAATTGTTTTATCTTAACAGAAGGTGGTGGTTGAAGCATACCCTACGGATCAACAAATTAAATGAAACGATAAATTTAAACGATTTAACCTCAGAATTAATGAATACCGTGCAATTCATTGTGTTAATAGACAAGTGGAAAGGTTACAATATTTTGTGGTGTGTTTAACTTAGTACGAGTACCTCGGATACCGGCATTGGCAAACTGCATTTGATTGGTAGGTAGAAGAATGATTCAGACAATTTTAGACAAGCATCACCAAAACCGTTTTGGCGAAATTGAATAATCTTTTTGCGCCTTAGAGGTGCTGTACGCAAAATGCCATTTGGTATATAATCTATATTTATTTGTAGCAGACATAATACATCTCTATCTACATAATTAGTGCATAGTCATACTTCTATACGTACAACACGCGTTTGGGTGAAAGCAGCAAAGCAACAGCGACCTGCGTTGCATCTTCATCAAGCAGAATCACAAGCTTTAGCATGGTTATCACACAACGCGAACAGGCTTCAAGTTACAACTATAGGCTGTCAACACACTATAAAGCTTTGCGGCTTGCCTGAGAATATAACTTAAAGTTAAACCAGCGGATGGCTCTTGGCGATTACTGAAGGTCTTGCTACATGTAATTCATGGGCAACATAAAGCCAGTGTCATTTTAAGCTTTTTGTAACGTCGACAAGTTCATACTTAGACATAGACAAAAGTGGATACTACAAATTACAATACAAGATATGAGTCGTATGACTCCCCTTTGACCCTGAAATGAACGAGTAGGGATTATGGAAACGAGTTCATGATTTTCTGGAGTTCTTGTGTATTTTTTTGAAACATGTAGAAGTATGGAAACAACGGTGGGAATAGGCAGCTAGAATGATTTGCCAGAATGGGTAATAAACTTTGTAATATAAGCCTGCAGCGATCCAGTAAGTGCCAGTTTGTTGCGGCGCCGGTGTCTGTTAAATAAATGCTTAACAAGAACTGAACAGCCAGTAATGCGACGAACGATATCTTTTAATCTCCTCAGAAATAGCGAAAATGTGCAGCAACAGGCGCTGAATCATCTGCAAGCCGGTTTTGAGAAGGATCCAAAGAAAAGTGATTTAGGTCTGACAAAGCGTAAGCTCACGAGATACATATCCAGTTATTGTTTCCGGCAAGACAGCCGCCGCTATGCTGTTAATGCGGATACTGGTAATATTGATACATGTATAAAGCGATTTTTGTCAGTCCAGGCAACAATTACATCGAAGGATTAAGACCTGCTGAACAGTTTTAACTTTTAAGCCGCTGTGTCTATAACATGATGATACAATTGTAGCACTCAAATGCCTCTTATAGCACATCAAATCAGAATGCCGCTTCCGTTCCATCTGTGTCACTAAATAGCATTTACTGAGATCACTTGGCATATTGAAAATTACGAACTTGATCTAATAACACTACTGAAGTTTTAATCATGGATATTCACTGGCTAATGCTTGCCACACTGATTTTCCGCGAAATTTGTGCAGCGGAAGGTAAGGTAGTGCAAATGTTGCAGCAGTGTTACTTCGATACCGCTTTGGTACGCCGTCCTCCTCCCCGGTTGTATAATTTCTGTATGCATTTCGATTTCTTGTAGATGATTTCAACTGGGATGCGGTTCCTCCACCGGTACCGTTTCCGGTATTCTCCGCCGAACCAATGGCACACGAACAGTGCCGTCTGCAGTATACGACCAACTGTTATTCGCGGGAGTTTCCGCTGAGCTGGTGCATCCAAAGTCCGGTACTGAACATCAACTGTAACAGCAGCGCCACCTCACACGAAATCCAGCAAATGGCAGCGGCCTTCGAACAGCCGCCACTGCGACCGGTATTGGTCGACCTAGATGATGGCGAACAAGTAACTAGTGATAACATGGCTGCCGTTCGAAACCAAGTCATCCTCTTAAGCTTGTCCTACTGCGTGTCTCCTCGCACTACCGGCAAGCTGTCGTCGTTGCGTTTCCCTAATCTTTTAGATTTATCGTTAAACAGCTGTTATAGCCTAAAAATCAAGCGATCGGATTTTTGGCAGTCGATGAAAATACGTATCATTGAAATTTTTAATGGAACCATTCAGTCTCTGGAGAAAAACACTTTTGCGGATCTTCCCGCTCTTCGAGTACTGTCACTCGAAGCTGGACTGGATTCGATGCTAACATTTAGTCCTGAGGTGCGAGCCTATTTGAAAGAACTACACTGCGGCGTTGCGTTCGAATGGTTTCGCCGATGGTGGGACAACAAACACCTATTGAAAAAGGCTGCTTACAACGAAGTGTACCAAATTTATCCGTCTGCTTGGGGGAACCACGCTGTTAATAAAAGGGAAGTGTATTTGCCTATTGACTGCGTAGCCAAACCCTTCCCGATTGGAGCCGCTTCCATAAATTTCAACCAGGAGCGCTTCTCAGTGAGCGATGACCTCTGTAAGTTATACTAGGACACTTTTTAACAGCCGTTGTATGCCACTCTTCTTTTAAATCAAGACGGCGTCGCAACTTTTTAGATAAAGAAAATTGGCGGCCCGGCGACCCCGTCGATGCGGATGACCGATACCCGGAATTTTCTATTGGCGGCCCGGCGACCCCGTCGATGCGGATGACCGATACCCGGAATTTTCTATTCAACCGTTTTCCGCAACAGAATGTGCCGTACAGCAGATAAGCTACTGCTATCCAGTGGAATGTGGAGATCGAGCATACATGGGATATCTCGCCTACCGACTTTCTTATACTACGGATGTCGACTGTTATGGCAACCTATCAAGTCCAGATCGCATTCCGCGCGCGGTGACCGCCATTATGCGGTTACCGATTCGGCCTGTTATCCTGGAAGCACACCACCAGGTTCCAGTACTCCACGCAGATGTGGCTCCATTACGCAAACGTATCATCCTGTTCTGGTTGGACGACGATTCGAAACGAGCCACCGCAAAGCTGCGCGAACTTTATTTGACGAATGTCATCGAGTTTCTGGTGACCGGCTGTTCCGACCTGGATATCAGGAAAACGGATTTCGAAAGATCGACGAAGCTAAGGCAGATTCTGTTTCGGAATACTACGATTCAGACGTTGGAAGAAGGCACATTTACGGATCTGCCGTCGCTTTCTTTCCTCTCGTTAGAATTTGCTCTGGCCACCAACAGACCGCTCGTAGAACATCAGATGCCGTCCATAATGTTTACGCAACAAATGCGCGATTATCTCTTTCGCTTGCACTGCAGTTGCGAGTTTGCATGGTTTCGGCGATGGTGGAGTTATAACAGTACCGTGAGATTTGGGCCAGCATTGGCGGACGACGGAACGGTGTCGGTAACGATGGTTCCTTACTCCGAATATGCAGCTTATTCGGCTGGTCAGACCCCTATCGACTGTGCGCAGCCAGTTCCACTGGGATCGGAATACGTTAATGTTAACCAAACAGAATTTTCTGTTAATGAGCCAGTGTGTTATTAGCATCGCTTGGCCAGTACATAATCAGCTTGCTCATGCAACACTCTTTAGTAACTGTAATGTTCTTTGAGGTTATCATAATTATTGTGAAGTCTGGGTAACACTTTGTATGCTCATAAAGCAAGAGAACCAACTGCTGTCGGATTAGCCTTTGTCTTACTTTTTTCATTACGCGTTGGACTTTCTTGCCCGAGGTACATTTTTTCAGCTGCGAGAGCTCGCCGTATTTGTCACTGAAAACGTTTCCTCTTGCTGATCACAAGCAAAGTTTTCGCGGGATTCGCCACTATGATACGACTAGCGGCAGGGTTCTGTTATCGGTGCGGCTATTATAAAGTCGCTAGTCGCGACTGGAAGGCTGTAGGCTCTTTTTGCCAACTGCAGTTGGTGGACAGGTTGTATCAGAAATATTTGCTTATGGCAATACTAACAATAAGTAAAATGTTTCCCAGTCTCAGAATTAATGGGTGGCGTGCATTTAAATTTTGTTTCCAGTAAGTTCACACTTTTTTGTACTGGGCAACAAAAAAATCGTATACCGGCATTGCCCAGCATTTTGGCGAAAGGTAATAACAATGATCTAGATGATACTGGATGGACATTACAGAAAGCGCGCGTCAAAGTTGATGCTTAATTACATAACCTGTATAGGCTTCACACTGCAACTGCAGGCTGTTAAGAGTCAAAACGTTATTGGAGGTTGGTGAGAGAGTATGCGTAAATAAGCGATGGCTTTTGGTGAAAACTAAGGGCATGCTAATTTAACGGCAACCACAATGCCAATGACATGTAATTCTTTACTTAAGATTTTATTTTTCAATATGTACAGCAACGAGCACCACTCAGTCTAATACAATCAAATGAAGAATTTGTCCCAGTTAACACGAGAAGGGACTGTGCATAATATGCTCATAGCATTACCCCGCATAATCTCCAAACTTAAACGTTGAAACAAAAAACAAGTGGAACGACTCTCGCCTGTTCGCATAAACAGTTTCTTAAATTCTTTTGTACTGTCAGTTAGTTCATACACTAGCTCATACCAAAAAAGGTAATATTATTATATCGTATCGAAGTTCAGAAAGCGCATGCTTCTGCTTCCTCTGTGGTTTTATAACCTGTCAGATGTCGAACTTCGCCAATGCAAAAGCTAACCGCTCCATTTCGGTATATTCACCGTGGTTCGGATTAGGGGTTGTGGGAAGAAAAACCCTAGATCGACGGTTTGTTTGACCAATATCTGCTGTGGTCATAGCGGGGATTTTAGACCGATGGTCCAGTGTGCGATTTGCGGTTGGTGCAGTTATTAATTGGTGATGCCCGCGATGGGTCCGTTTTTCGGTTGTACTATGCCGGTCCGGTGGAATTTGTCTGGTTCCTGCCCAGTTTTGCCATCTGTCTGCACGGCCGGCACCTTGGAATGAGCGGGTTATAATAATGGAAATAGTTCATGTTCACTGATTTCATAATTTTTTTCGCAAACTTCTGTAGGTTTAACGCTGAACTGAATGGGTCACATGTTTTTGACCCACTAATACTGTTTAGAAAGTTCAGAGTTTAATAGGAAAAAGATAGGTAATACATTATTTCCACGACGATGCCGACGACGGGACACTATTCTGATAATACACATACTGGGCTGCCCAGATTAGCATCCAGAAAGATTTGCGCCCTCGTCGATCCGCTGGATACCCGAATCCCCACGTTTTTACCGCCCCGGGTGAGCAGCGGCTGACCCATTGATAACGAAAGCTGTCCGGGCTCGGTCACCGTCTGCTTCGGCTTCTGTCCAGCAGCATGTGTTTCTCGAACGGCGGTCGCCGTAACCGCGGTTGTTCGGGAAATGTAACCGTTATTCCTCGCAGAGAAGGTATTTTCGATCATGCAACTGACACGAGACGATATAACTTCAGCGTCGAGTAACTTTCTCAGTTTCTGATAGAAGACCTCCAAATTCTTCTATAACGGGTAAATAAAAATCTCCAAAACGCATGGGTATTCGGAAACAACACAGCGAACACACCTGTTCCTTAATGTAAGGACCGCATGTCTGCAATATTATGCACACGCACTCTACTCTCCTCTCGTTAACATCCTCCAAATTTTCATTCGTGTGGCTTAACTTTTGTAGTAACGGAATAATAACACGATGCGTCAATAAGCCGTAGACATGCAACTGTGACAGAAACCTGCGGAAAGAAAATGGAAAGAAGCAGAAAAATTAGAGAAGTAATTCATATTACCGAACACTGGCAAGATGGCGCTTTTGAGCTGTTTCCAAACGCCTTCGCAGCGTGCCATTCTCCCTGTCAAGTTTCACCTGAGCTTCCGAATTACAACAATTTTCATCGGCTTTTTCGGAATATGTTCGCGTCATATGCAGCAAAACGCTACGGAATCGCAATAACTCATCGGATTCGTCGGAAATCGGCGTTTGCCAATCAGCCAATCGAAGACAGATTTCTGCACACGGTTTGGCAAGATGCGGGTCCTCTATAGCCTACGGAAAAAATGTCGTAGACGAACTTACAGCGGTATGCTTAAGCTGGTTAACCTTGTCCACAAGCATTGCCACAGTGGCAGTCAACCGTTCCGCATCGTCAAAACACTGCAAAAGGGTCATGGCCGTGGCTATAGAGGAAGAATTATCGGCACTGAGCGTATGCAGATGTGTCCGAAAATTCAAGAGTAATTCCTGAAAACAACCAATGCTGAAAAGTTAACGGGAACGGAAATTAAGGTTGAGACGACAGAAATAAACGGTTACTGTTTCATACCACTTCTCTTGGTGTGGGATATGGGTCTACCATAGCTTTTGTGATCCCAACAACATTGTCCATTTCAGCATCGGATAACGAATGAGGAAGTCTAATCACGTAAGGGCTTTGCTTAACGCATTGTTTCGTTAAACGTCGTTCTCAGCTCAGAGAAGAGCTCCTCTCATCGCTCGAGACTTACCATTAGATTGTTTGTGCAGGTTCAGTGAGGAACAATCGATAATTCCTGCCGTGAGATGGCTGTGCGCTGACTACGACATTTACGGTGTGCCGTTGGGACCAGAAATTACAAGATGGAATCGATCAGGCTGGGCTTTTTTCGGAGAGTCCTGTGTCAAATCGATACAGTTTGCAATTTAATGCTCGTAGAGATTACAATTTCGCTGGTGCAGTTGAAGTGCAGCCGGTTTGTCGGTTTGGCGAAAACGCCGGAGTCTATCGCAATTAGTCTCGCCTTATAGGAAGTAGTTTTTCCAGCTAAGATCGGATATCTGCGTCTATTAATGATTTCCATGCAGATAATATGATCGTTCTTAATTCTTATAGTGTTACGAGTTTTCATACCAACATGTCCCTGGTTAATTTTTCCAGCTGAGATCGCTTATGAATTCATCTGCGTCTGTTAATGATTTCCATGCAAATATAATCGTTCTTTCAGTAATATGGAGACTCAGACCAACATTCCCGGGTTAAACCCCACAGACATATTGCAATACAGCTGTCTTCCGCAAATGATGTGATTATATTGTAGAAACCCACTGCAGTCACTGCCGAGTTGCTTGAAGAATTGCGATTTAAGCATAGCTTCTCAACTTTTATGCATCACGTTAACGGTAATATCCGGAACCGGAAGTCGCAGCTGGGTAGTGTCCTGTTTCGTTTAATTATTTCACGGCACTCGCTCTGTCGCAGATTATGCTCGTATTATTTCGAAGAATTAGCAGAGCAAATTATCACAATAATCACCTAAAAACTGGAAATTAACGGCTCGCGGTAGGGAAAAACAAAAAGCAGCCGAAGGGAAAATCTTCATACAAAGCAACAGGAGGACGTGAAATCGCTCCTTATACAGTAATATACAACACGCGCATCGTACAAGAGTAGAGCCAGTGATACGAAGCTCGTAATTTCTCTTGAGAATCCAGTTCACTATGGCTTTCGCCGTTGCAGCTTCTAGTAACGCTACATCGCGATTCGAGGCACCGCTTACGTCAAAAAACAACACATACGATATTCAGTGGTGGACTGCGCACAGTAACGACCTGCTTATCTGGGCCGCAGTTTCTTTTGTGATATATTTTACCTGCGCTATAATATTTCCATTTTTAGCAGTCGTATTGATTCGCCTGAAAGTATACACCCGAGCGTCCGGGATACTCATTCTCCATCTGGTCTTTCTCGAAGCGCTCTTGGCGCTAATATTGATGCCGTTACAAATGGTCGGCAACTATGCAAACCGGTACCATCTTATCCAATCCACGGATTGCGTATACGTAAAGTTCGTTTTTCAAGTGGTCATGCAGACCAACAACTGGTCGCAGCTGTTCTTGGGTATCAACCGGTTGATCGCTGCTACATCACGCGAGCTCTACACTCGCTGCACCACCAGAACGGCACTCAGCCTGACCATCGGAATCAGTTGGTTAATCGGCATCGCCAACACTGTGCCCACGGTCATTAATATCGAAGGCAGTTATGTCCTCGTTCCACCGTGGAACAGCTGTAATTTCCAGCCCAAACCGGGAACACTGTGGATGCATTATTTGATCGTTGGCATATACATTCCGCTGCCTCTTACAATGCTGACATACATTGGTCTGCTGTGGCGATTCCGTAAAACTCGGGTGTCAGGAACAGTGGATGCGCTGGCCGTTAACACCAATGTGAATCCGGCTTTGATACTCAGCAGGAAGCGGCGGATTGGTACTGCGCGGATGTTGTTCGGCGCGGCCGTTTGGAACTGTGGATGTTATTGCACGCCGACGCTCATGACGGCCCTGATGGCACCCTCTTACCAAAAGGAGTACGCTCGATTGTGGGGGCAGAATGTGTATCTTGCGACATACTCGATGACACCAGTAAACGGCTACTTTTATGCATAAAGGGCATTTAATGTACTGTAAACTGAGTAAAAATTAGGCTGTTATTTTCCAGGTGATATTTTTCACCCTCAACCGGGATTATAGAGCTAAAGTGGCGGAGATCATGAGGTGTACTAATAGAAGTACCCGTATCAGGAATCCCATCACAGGCTGAATCAGCGACCAGTGGTCGACCAGTCAAGTACGGCAAATCTCTACGACGAGCTTGATATCTACATACAGTACGCATGTTTATTGCATAATAACAAAATCACAGTGGAGCTGCTAAGAAATACAACATCGGGCTCCAGTTATTCCCGATTAGCCAATCTAAAAGCTAAAAAAACGTCTTCGTTGTCTCGCATCTCATTAAATGTTCCGAGGACAGACACAGCACTTTCGCGTTGTATTTCAATGCTGATTCTCTGACGCAAAAACGCTCCCGACCGAGGGTTACCACTACATTCGCAAATCTTTCTTGACAGATCTTTGAAAAATTTCTTTGTTAGTGGTCCAAATGTCCCCGTAGTTTCAAAAGCCAGAGGTGGTACTACGTATCGATCCGCGAGTCCATCGTACTTCCGTAACTTCTGATTCTCTCTCACTTCCGCTGCGCTTCCTGGGACACGCGATGTATGGCCTATGTAGGTCTGGGCGAAGGTATCGGCAACAGTGACATCCCATACCAACGGCTTCCCATTGCGCCAAGGAAAGGCAGTAACTCCGTCCGGCCGCTTCCCAACTCCTCTATCCAGTCCCGGTGGCTCAAGCGTCGACGGCACTCTGGCTGAATTCAAGGCTCTTTTTGTTGCAGCGTTCAACACGGCATGAGTGCCATGTTTTCCTTTTGCCAGCTTACACACCAGGCCGTGGTGGCCGAGACTATCCAATGTGGATCCGCAGCGACATACGTGCGGTTGGCATACCGGTGCTCCCAATCGTCGAGCCACAGCTATGCGTAAATGGGCGTCCTCCAACATGTTACCAAAAATCGAGACAGGTAATGCAGCTAACCATGCACGGGATTCCGATGAGGATGCAGCCAACAGACGAGCGCGGGTGATTACGTCGGCGTTCTCCACCATGCGAGTCGCAGTTCTTGTGTGCTGTACTGCTGTCCAAGCTGACTGAAAGCGGCGGTTTTCGGTTCTGGGGGCTTCGGTCGTGTAGCGACTCGTCCATACTTCTGTAAGGCGCGTACATTTTTCTTGGATAGAGTCACTGCGGACAATACTGTACACCACGTCGGCAACTCCATGCAACGATGAGGCATAAGCAGCGAGCGCCACATCTGGTGCTTTCACCAATCCCAGCCCGCCGAACTTCGTAGGTAGCGCAGCTTGCTCCCATACCGTATCGGTCATTGCGACATTTGCCAGCTCTTCCGCCTTGGTCCGTATCGTTTCATCAAACTTCTGTAGCGCTTCCGGGTATTGCCAACATTCTGCAGTCCTAAGAAGGTATAACAACTTGGGCAGCGACAAGCAGTTTTTTAACAAAAATAAGGCTTGATGTGTAGGCAATGTACCGAGCTGGTCGGCCAGCACTTGTGCTGACCGACCTTCTTCCTCAACGCGCCCACAACCGCTTCCGGTAATAGAGGAGATCCCAGCAGCTCTAGCTTGTCCGGCGTGACGACGCGTATATCCGGTGCCACGTCCATAAACATCCGGACCACTTCCGCGCGCTCGTTGGCACTTCCCCCGTCTATGTACAGTTCGCATTTCTTCGTGTTTAGTTCCAGACCAATTTCAGCGGCCGCTCCGCGGAGTTCCAACAATGCTGTACTGACGCCGCTTCGAACTTGGCAACTTACTAAGCGACTTGTTTGTGCATTTGTAGTTAGGATATAAGACACATGTAACCATATTTTATTTTGATTGTGCAACCCCGTCGCTAGATGAAAATCTTATGATGGCTTTCAAATTTCACACAAAGCTACAAATTATTAGTCCTTGATTAAATAAGATACTCACCAAATCAGAAAAGGCACTGGACGTGAAATTGTTACAATTGTTTTCTTTGCAAAACCACTTCTACTGATATGATTTGCATTTTAACGAATCTGCTGCATAATAAACCGTTATGTGCACCCTCTTCCGCGGTCGCACCCACATTTATTATGGACGCCCATTTTTGCATCCCGTTTATTACAGCCACTCATTTTAATAAGAGGATTCTATGCTCATGTGGCGCAAAATTATATACTACTCTGTACGTCATGTTCTTGTTATAACTTAAAATGGTTTTTAAGTTACAGCTAATATTACTTAAACTAAAATCCAACGGTAAGAACCGCGAGTAATGGGTTCGATGAAATCCAGAGATGTTGGCTTCCAGCCCGCTAGTTGGCTGAAGCAAAGCGGACCAAATAACGTCCTTGTGAGCTAGCGCCGCCGTTATGCCATAAAACATCTAGGAAACGCAAGGCCGCTAACGGCACCAGTTACCCTTCAAAACAAGTAGAACCATTCCGAATTTCGCTTCCGGTGACCACTGAATGTATGTCTGTGCATCAAAGTTAACACTGTCTATACACTAGACTCACGTTCGACCGAAAACATAAGCAATAACGCAAGGAGGAAGACTATTCAAAAAGCAAGAAGGTCAATCTGGTTTTCATTATATTTTTAGACAAGGAATTAATGTTGGTGGCTCGACTGGCCGAATTTCTACGTGAGATAACTTGCAAAAAAACAAACAGCCAACTTGGTATGAACTCAAAGAGACTACGAAAAATGAAGGCCGGTCTCCACTGATGTAAACGGTACAGGCTAAAATTTCATAAAACTATACAATACTGAACAGCTAAACAAATTACCCCGTTTCACAAACAAAATTGCGTTCAAACCACGCAGTCTGAACTGTGAAGATTGCACAAAGCTACAATTTGATGAATCTTTGCGGTCCAACATCAGTCCGATCTGCATAACGCTATCCAGTTGCCAGATTATACGGCAATGCCGACCGAGAAATGGTCGTTTCTCAGGCGGAGATTGTTCAGCATGCACACCGTTAATTTTGTGAGGTTGCAGATATCTAAATTGCAGATATCGTCCAGACTCCACTTTCTGCC